AAGTTTCAGCCTCCCAGCTTTCCTGGTTGCTGAGATGAAATTGGGTGACAAAATGCACTCGCTTTCTAAACACACACACAGACAGCTTCTCGAGAATATGCGTTTTTGCTGGCTGTAGCAGCGCTATGGCGCTGCTATAGCGTTGCACAGCAAAAACGCGTAAAAAATGTGAACTACTAATTAGTGATATTGGTGTAAAAATTTTTAAAAGATTTTAAAAGTTAAATATGGAAAAACCTCTATAAATGATTTTTAAAATATAAATATAAGTAAATAAATACAAGAATTCAAATATATGCAAGTATATGTGATAAAAATTTATATATATATGGCCATAAGGTCTGTGTAGGTCGAGAGCGTAACTTCAGCCCATTTACGATCTGCTCATCCATTTTGATAGTATATTGGTACTGGCATATGCCAAGGAATTAGATCAATTATCGGCTCGTTTCAAAACAGTCCTCAAGAGAGGAAGCGTCGGCAGCAAGGCGAGGAGTTGGCTCTTGATACATACTACCACTTGGCTAATTTTTGAGTGCCTCCGTCTTGTACAGTGTGGACTTTTAGTTGTAATGAAATTCTTTACTATAAAATTAAGTTAATTAATCTTCCCTTGCTTATGAAACGTTGTGTTCCCCCCAATGAATATACTTTCGCATCAATTCATCTCACAGATTCTCAGTTTGCACCTATGAAACACTGGAATTCAAGGTTTAATTGTTTACTTCATCATTCTGCCGCTGTAGATATCGTTCCATTTCTCGTTCATGAAGAAATCTCTTGAGTTCATCCTGGGTCCTTTGTAACTCATCTTTTAAATTTTGATTGGCACGAAGAGCCGTTTCAGCTTGCTCTCGATAAATATCGTTCAGGTCTTCCAGATTATCATTCCTGAAAAAATAACAAGAATAACACTTAATGAATTTGCAGCAAAACTTCGAAGGTACAATAATCTGATTAAACATTAAATGTAGCCCGTTACAAACAGGATACTCTGGCCATGAAATAGTACTGATTCAGTCGATTTTCGTTATGTAACGTATAAAACGAGATGGTAGTGCAGGAACTGAAGTGGCTAGGACAAAAGGAAAAAAGACGGTAAGACCACTAACAGGTTGACCAACAGGGGATGAAAGACTGGTCGGAGTAACTGGAAAAATTTTCATCCTGCAGAGATCCGAATTATGAATTAACAGTTGTTCCAAAATGAAAAAAAAAAAAAACGCAGAAATTAAGAGGGACAGAATATACCTTAGCTGTTCCTCACGTAACTGTTGAATAATCAGATCGGTTGAACTATCGGCTTTGATTCCACTGTCCAATAAAGATGCTGATAGCAGCGGATTTGCACTCAGACCATCCGACCCAATGCGTAACATTTCCGGTGAGCTTAAATTTTACCAATTTTTTTCGTAATAATAATTTTACTAATTTTGTAACTCTCATTCCCCGCCTTCCCTTTCGGTTCTTCTTATATCAGTCGTCGTTAATATATCTTTCTATTAAACTGACAGTTTTGAAATCACTTCAGTGCTAATGTACTACTGCTAGGACATGTGTATGTCGATGTGTATGTATAAAGTCTCGAAGTCAAAATCTCCTCTGTATCCGCTTCTTATAAGAGAACAGATAAAGGGAGTCTGTATCGCAAGTGTATTCCAATTTCGCAAATGAGTATGGACAGAAAAAGAATCGACTACCGCCTTCACATCCAAAAGCGACATGCTAAACACTACACCACTGACGTTTATGTCCCAAGAACAACTTGTAAGCACTTTCACTGTACGTTTGCTGGTTTGCGATGGTTTTTTTCTTTGCCGGCTTTTGCAGCTTTCTGCGACAGCGTGTGATTCATCCATTGTATACACCACACACGATTTGATGGGCAGAAACACTTCTTGCCATTATAATAATCTCACAAATTTTTTAATTTTCATTTCTTACCCTTTTTTTTTCTTTCTTCTCTTTATTTCATTCCTTCCTATTATAACTTTCTATTACAATCAACGACCGATCCGCGACAGAAAA